TTTATAGTAACAATTTTTTAAATTTAATAAAAAAAAGAATAAGAGACCACTCCAGATAAGGAAATTCTCTTTAATTCTGAAATCAAAAGTAAATGCACCTTAAGTTTCTTTACAATCTAAATTTAATTTCTCTGAGACAAGCAAAATTACAAAAAATTTAAAATATGTTCCATATTTAATATAAGCAAAGTCATAAGGCAACAAGGCTACAGCACATGAACTGTGAGATATTTTTGCATATTTTAAAAACAGATGACTTAGCAACCCTTGACAATTACAATTATATAAAAATAGGAACTTGACAACCTAATCTACACTTTATTCTGAAATAAAACCTGGTCTAAGCTAACTTTCTACATTATTACTCAACAGCAAATAATTCTTTCAGAAGACCTCATAATTATATAAATGCAGTGTTCTGAATCTGTAACTTGAAAGATTTTGGTTTTCACACACAATTTCCTTTTGGAAAATATGTACAAAGCTTTGTTGTTCCCAAGATCCATCTTAACCAACAAAAACCTGTCATTTCCACCATCCCACCTATACAGGAGACATAAGTAAGAAGATCAATGTCTAGAACCAACTAGGACATAAACACAAGACTCTGAAAATTCAAACTCCAATACCACAAGAAAACACACCAAAAAGGTGGAATTTTGAAATTAACCAAAGTGTTTAAAGAAAAATTACCAGCTATAGTTGTACAAGTTACACAAAGTCAATCCATAGAAATAAAAATTCTACTGATTAAGTATCAAATTGCTAAAAACAAAAAATATACAATGTCCCAGTAAGATTTTAAAACATATTTAAAAAAATCATATCTCTGTATGCTGAAAGGTAAAATGCCATAAATTTTCAAAATAAGCCATGATCAGTTCAATTGGGCTTTTTAAAACAAACTAGTATAGCTGTGTGCCATTGGCTCACACCTATAATCCTGGTGACTCAGAAGATAAGAGACTGGAGAATCATGGTTCCAAGTTAGTCCAGGCCAACAAATACAAGAGACTCATCTACAATTAACCAGCAAAAAGCTAGTAATGAAGGTCTGGCTCAAGTGGTAGAGTAGAAAAAGCTTCCAGCCTTCGGGGAAAAAAAAAAATCTAATAAGCAACAGTTCAAGGACCCAAGTTCAAGCCCCAGTACCAGCAAATAAGTAAATAAGGTATTATTTTCTGGAAACTATTGTCTTTGTAGCTTGTGTAATGACACTGCGTTTTATTGCATGTTCTACAGTCACCACCGAGCACATGAGACTAACAGAAATCAAATTAATTTCTTCAAGTTTGGTCCCTTGGTATACTTAAGCCACATTTGCAGGGCAGTAGCCACATGAGGTTGGTGACTATTGTACTGGACAATTCATACACAGAACATTTCTAGTATAGGTATACATATGCCAAGTACATGTCATTTCTTACCAGTAAATGACACACACAAATTCAAGCACTCTGGCAGTCTACTGTATTTGGCCTAAATACAGTGTGTTGTTTGTGAAATTTAAGATTTTGGGTTTTTTTTTAATTTATCATTTCAGCAGCAGGAACAGTAGGAATTTTCATACAATTATTATCTGAAAAGAGCAATGGATGCTTTGAAAGTCATGCTCTAACATCAAAACATACTTTGATTCAAATCTAACACTTCACAAAATGAAAGTAATAAAAAAAAAAGATACCTAACATAATTCAAATGGCTGAAAAAAACTTTGGATAAATGTCTCCATCTGAAAAATCAAATGCAAAGACTTAGAATACTACAGAGCACACTCTCAATGTACAAACAGTTCCCTTTTTCTGAAGAAAAATAAGGTGTGAAATTTGAAAGATTAATCAGTTTCTCCTACTCAGTTATAGAAACACCACAGAATCAGAGATACTAAACATGGCAGGTATCTGAAAATGAGAGTAATTATCATTCCCTCTGCAGTACCCTATCATTATCTCTATTGTGGTTAGCAGAGCTTGCCTATTTATTTTTAGTTACCCTACTGAAATGTATCTTCTACTTCTGGTTTGGGGTCCAATTATCACTTCATGTCCCACTTACACCACTTGATTCTGTGCTATTTGGTGAGAAAACACATGAACACCATTTATTTGCACATTCTTAATATATAATGTTTTTCAAAACAAATCAGAGAATGCACTTAATTCTAAGAACTGTATGTTTAAAATGGTTAGAATGGGCTGGGTACATGGTCCAAGTGGTCCTAGGAAGTGTAGGCCCTGAGTTGAAACCCCAATACAATCCCCACCCCCCAAAAAGGGTTAGAATGGTAAGCTTTAAAATTATACATATATATATATTCACAATAAAAAAGTATATCATGGCAATTAGTTACATTCTGAGATTATTCATCTTTTCATATTAGGCATGCTTTTCCTGAGAAATTGGTTGGGGTTTTCCAAAATAATAAATACAACAAAACCTTATTCACTGTAGAATAAGAATCCAATCATATTAAAAGCTAAAGATACCAACAAAACACCTTTATTTTTAATTTTTTGAATTATCTTTAGTTTACAAAGAATTTTTTTGGTCCAAGACCAGAACTCAAACTGAGTACCAGATGCTTTCACTCATTTCAGTCATTAATGCTCTACCAACTGAGTAATGCCTCCAACCCACAGAGTATTATCAACATTACTCCCCCC